GGTTCTGTTCACCCACATGGCGTCTGCTCCCATCTCCCCGCCTCCTGCACCTCTTGCCAAGCCCCATAATCCGAGGCTACCAGTTCCCAACATGCTGGTGGCCCCTACCTACACCCGGCATGGTATGATGTCCTAACCGTTTGCCAATAACCGCTGTGAAAATCTCAACGTTGCCCCTCCCACCCCGCAAATTAATGGCACTTTAATTTTATCAATATTCGTTCTGAGCCTCCATTTAATCCGCTGTTTTAAGTTAACCCACTGCAGCTCTTTATAAAACAGCACCTGCACCTCAACAAATCTATGCCCAGTGACAAAATCAAAGTGCCACCTGGGCTGTGAGTTCTTCCCACAGACGCGGATGCAGGCACACTGACCCACTGGCTGAGCCAGGCCAGACAGAGCAAGGCTTGGGGTGGGGTGGGGGGGGGGGGGGGGACTAGATTTAGGGCACAGGCAAAAAGGTAACATAGTTTCCCATGCTGCCACACACCAAATAGAGGTCTCTAAACCAGACCTGGAAAGAAACAGCACAATCTCTGGCAAACCCACTCACTTCCTTCCTAGGAGAGCACAGGGTTAAAGAACTCAAGCGGTCCCAGTTTCAGCTTGTTGGCATATTTATCCTAGTGAAGTCAGTCAATTCCTATCATGACATAAGTCTTTTTATTTTCTAGATAGTCCCTGACCGCAAATTATAAAGTAATAGTTTACTAATTTAAAAAAAAAACTGAAAATTAAGCTTCTCCTATAACAAACCTGTTTTCTTGAAAACGTGTCTGTGCCTAATAAAACCACAGTAACCAAATGACTTCAGATCATCTTCCTGTACCCTGTCTGACATTTTCAAAGTCAATTCTCAGGCCAGAATGAATGCTATTTTTTTTAATGCCGGAGTGAAGATGTTATTCTCCAAATGTTAATGAAAGGGACATACTATTAAGAGGTGGTAGATACATTAGTAAAAGTGTCCAAGTGCGATGCGAGTTATTTCTAAATCCATAATACTTCTAATACTTCTGATGCAATAGGATGCTGAGAAAAATGGAACAAGTACAAAAAGCCCTGACCAAAAAACTTACTCCTAAATATAGACTTTGAAAAACAAAGAAATACAGGATGAAGGTTTCTCTTTACACCAAGCGAGGGAAGAACGGGCTGTTCCCTAGAATCTGCTCAATTTAATGTTATTATAAATTTAAGTGCTAATTATCTTAAAAGAGTGGTTGCTATATTATACACACACACACACACACGCACACACACACACACACAGTGCATTAGTACCCAAAAAGCAAGACCTCCCCCATAAGTTAAAAACAGTTTTAAGTCACCCATCACTCCACCCCCGAGAGCCCAGGTAAACAGGACTCACTTCAGCCGTTTTCTTTTTTGTTTTGCTAATGACAGGCCTTCCCAGGAAAGTCCAGTCACCAGATCCAGCTCCCCTACCGGAGAGCTGCAAGCCTGGCAGCCATTCCCGGGAAAATCTATCGATATAAACCGCAAAAAATGTCTTTACAAGATTTCTAATATCAGTGAGGGTAAGGTTTCTTCTCGGGGAGCAGGGAGTGAGGAGGGGCCCAAGAGTCTCCGGGCACGTTCTACAGCGAGCAGGAACCAGTTCGGAACTTCCTGCTTCGCAAGCAGGCCAAGTCACTTTTCTCTCTATGGTAAATGAGGGCTCCTTTTTCGTGACATACCACGTTTATACTTTATAAAACTCGAGTTAGGCTAGGATATTAATGGGACTCAGCCCGACGGTGATCGTCTACCCTCGGTTCTGGGAAGCCTTCGGTATTTCCCTTGAGACTGCTGAACCTGCACACTTTTTAATCTCCCCTAAATTCCAGAAATAAACGGTGACCTTAAAAGATGTCTCGCTTCACTTTTTAAAAAAGACCCTCTCCCGACCACGCAGGCGGGTTTTGTTCCCTGCCACAAAGGCTCTTGCCACCCAAAATAAGCCGTTTGCTAAAATCAAAAATGAAACTAAGTGTGCTTAAAAAAAAAAAAAGCACAGAGAAAGGGCATCATTCAGCGTGACTTAACAGTATTTTACGACCTACAGTTATGGAGTGATTTAATATTTTGTACACTAGGATTATTAGTATAATTATCCTGCCAAACACTAAAGAATACTAGCCTTCAAAAACAGATAACAACAACAAAAAGACACAGCCCCCGTGTTACACCGTACCTAAAAGAAATCTGTAAATGTGGGTCATCTGCTCGTCACTTTCCTTCCCCCTCAAAAGTAAGAGCTATTCCCAAGGGTCACGCTGAGGACATAATGGATTCCCTCTCATTCCAAGAAAACAAAATACTCACAATGATTGGTACCATTAAGAAATAATCCTCTAAAGTAACACGGACCTACATCTGCTTCCATCATCAGCCCTTCCTACTTGACAATGATGTGAATTCTAAACTGCTCCTTTAAAAGAAGGCTGACAAAGCAAATCTTTTTAAAATTAAGTGCGCAGCGAGTTTATTTACACAAGCTGGTTCACTAATGTTTTTTTTTTCCTTTTTCACTGGTGCAAAACAAAAATTGAAACTGCAGGTTTGCCATCGGGAACGGGGACACAGATTATCATCCAAAGTAAAACTCGTCTCCCTGAAGATTTGGATGGCCTCGTAGTAAGCTCCTCAGCAAGGATTCTCAAGATCATCTGTTAAATTCAGCCCTACATGCACGCAGACAAGTCTCTCCCATAAGATTATTATTTAAATATACCTGGTTGAAATAAATGGGCTGAGTAAAAATATGTTTTACAGCCACTATAATTCCCTGCTCATAGATTATAATTTTTAAATCTTCCAGAGCATTAAGATGCCTAGGAAAGAAAAATCAAGAGACGCGCCCAGAACAACTTGCATGTAATACAGTTTCCCGGATTCAGGACGCAGTTCAATTAGGATTCACTTTACCTAAGCCAATCAAATAATCAACAACAACAACAAAAAAATATGACCGGTGACATTTCTATAGTCTTCAATTCAGATGCACATGTAAAATCAAATTATTTTTGGTATTCTGCAACAGCCACTTTTCCCCCAACTAATGCTTTCTGCAGAAACTACTACACAGCCTTCTCACCTGCTTTTTTAAATTTGTCAATTCTAAGTAAAGCTCCTCAACACCCATCTTCAGAGAATTATTACAACACAACTGACGAAAAACACAGCCTTAGTCTTGTTATACAGCTATACAGCATCTCCTAATTTTCACGCAACTTTTAATTTCACATCACGCTACATCTTGCTCACAGGATTCCAGCTTTTCCCTGCAATTTTTTAATGCTCTGACTCAATTTTTTTCTATGAAGCTATCCTGACATAATTCCATTTTCCCCCCTCCTAGCTTCATCTGTAAAAGGTGCTTCCGACAAAAGCATTTACAAGTCCCAACCCTGGTAAAAAAAAAAAAAGGCTTGGTCTAATTATTTTTCAATTCCCAGATCCTCGCCCTACAATTAAAGTCCGCGAGAGACTCAACGTCTATATTCTATATCTATATATCTATTGAGATCGCCAAAGACCTCGACTTCTTCGTCCATACCCACTACACTGGACAAGGCACCGGCGGGCTTTCACGCACCCCACCCGGCTGATTAATAACCCATGATTCCTAATAATTTAAGCTTTACACCAGACGCAACCTTCCATCTGCCGGTAAGGGAGCTCCGTTATTATTTGTGGCAAGACATTTTTTTTGTGTGTGTGACTTGTACTGCTCAGCACTTCTATTTACATCAGCAGTGCTAAATGCCCAATGGTGAGAGGGGAGCCAATCAGATGGCAGATTAGATGTCAACTCAGAGGCAGCTGTCTGGAGACTATTACAGCCAGTTTACCTCCACAATTCAAATTCCAAACCTTGCAAAGGAGATCGAGTCGGTCTTTAGGCTCAGCCGCCGAGCGAGCGGGCGAGCGGCGGCCCGAGTGCGGGACGCGGCCCGGCCACGCCGTCGGGCTCGGGGTGGGGTGGGGGCGGGGGGGGACGGCGGAGGCAAGGAAAGGCCGAGAAATGCCCCCCGGGCGGCCCCGTTTCGCCCACCCGCCGCACCCCCGCCGCGCCCCACGCCCGCCGCCGCCGCCCCGTCCCCGGCCTGCTCCGGCCCTGGGTCCGCGGCGAGCGGGGGTCTGCGTCCCCCGCGGTCCCTCTGCACGCAGCCCGGCTGAAGGTGACTCCTTCCCCGGCCCGGCCCCGCCGCGAGCCGCGAAGTCACGGCTCTTTCTCCCCGGGGTGGGGGGGTGGGGTGGGGGGCCTCGCTGGAAGCCCGGCTCCCCGACCTGCACGCGGCGCGTGGCCAGCGGCGGCCGCGCTCCCCCTGCCCGCGACGCGTCCCCCAGTCCCCAGCCCGCCGCGGGTGCCACGCACGGGGCCCGCGCTGCCCACAAGGCTCCCGGGCCGGGCCGGGCCGGGCCGGGCGCGCGGGGCTCCGAGGGGCCGGCGCGGGCCAGGGCTGGGACAAAGTTCCTCCTCCGGCTCCCGAGGGGGGCGAGCGAGCCGCTGCCGGCCGCCCGGGCCGGGAGGGGGGTCCACGCCGCTCGCCCGAGCCCGGGGGCTGCTACAAAAGCGGCGGCCCCGGCGCCCCGCGCGCCTCCCCGCAGGGCCGGGCCCCGGGGGTCCCCCGAGCGCTCGCACGCGGCCCGCACTCCCCGCCCCCGCCCCCAGCCCCGGGGCCGAGCTGGGGTGCGGGGAAGGGGGCCGGCCCGGGGCGCCCCCCATCCTCCTCCTCCGCCTCGTCGGCCCCCCACCCCCACGCCCCGCGAGCGCTCGGGGCGCCCCCCACCCCCACCCGGCCACCCGGCCACCCTACCCGGGGCCCGGCCCGGGCCGCGCGGCGGCGGCGGCGGCGGCGAGTTCCGAGGGGCGGCCCCCCCGCCCCCCACCCGGGCCGCCAAAGTCGGCGGCAAGAAAGAAAGTGCAGCTCGCGGCGCGCTCGAGGCCGCCGCGCGGCGGAAGCAGGCCCGGCCGGCGCGGGGGTTACCTGGGATCGGCCCAAGGCCGGGCCGGGGGTGCCGGGGCTCATCGCCGGGTGGCTCCTTTGTTGCGCGGCCGCCCAGGCCGGGCTGGCGGCGGCGGCGGCGGCGTACGGGGCGCCCATGTCCTTGCCCAAGCCCATGCCCGCGGCCGCCTGCTGGCCGCCCGCCGCCGCCGCCGCCCCCGCCGCCGCCGCCGCCGCCGCCGCCGCCGCCGCTGCCGCCGCCGCCGCCTGGGACTGGGGCTGCTGCGACGCCGGCGGCGGCGGCGGCGGGGCCGCGCTGGGGCTGCTGTAGTCGGGGTAGCCGCCGCCGCCGTAGCTCCGCATCATGGGGCTGGGCGACGTGAGCAGCTGGTTGAGGGTCGGGGTGGCCCCCGACGGGTGCTGGTTCTGCCCGGCGAAGCGCTGGAAGCCCCCCGCCGCCGCCGCGCCCGCGGCCGCCTTGCTCAGGCTGGCGGCCCCGCCGCCCCCGGGGCCCATCATCATGCCGCCGCCGCCGCCGCCGCCGCCGCCGCCGCCGCCGCCCTGCTGCCGGGGGGAGCTCAGCGCCCCGAAGCCCGCGGACGGGCCCCCATAGCCGCCGCCGCCGCCGCCTGCTGCTGCTGCTGCCGCCGCCGCCGCGGCCGCCGCCGCCACAGCTCCCGCTCCTGCTCCTCCTCCTCCTCCTCCTCCTCCTCCGCTGCCTCCTCCTCCTCCTCCTCCTCCTCCTCCGCCTCCGCCTCCTCCTCCGCCTCCTCCGCCTCCGCCGCCGCCGCCGCCGCCGCCGACGATGCCGCCGCCCGCGCTCGGCCGGCCGAAGCCCGGGAGCTGCTGGCCGGGGCGCGCGGGCGCGTGCGGCGGGCGGGCGGCGGCGGCGGCGGCGGCGGCGGCGGGCGCGGCGGGCCTCAGCGCCGCCGGCCCCGGGCTTTGTTGTCCGCCATGTTGATCAAAGCCAGGCCCGGCGCGGCCGCGGGCCCCGCCACACTCATCACTCAGCTCGGGGCCGCCCGCCGCGCCGCCGCCGCCGCCGCCGCCGCCGCCCCCGGGCCCCGCGCTGCAGCCGCCGCCGCCGCCGCCGCCGCCGCCCGGCCGCGCGCGCCGCCCGCCCGCCGGCTCCGCGCCGGGACCCGGGGGCTCGGGCCGGCCGTCCCGGGCGCCTCCGTGGTGCCGCGGCGGCTCCATGTCGGGCCCGGGCGCGGGCGCCGGCGCCGAGCCGCCGCCGCCGCTGCTGTCGCTGCCGCCGGGGCCGGGGCGCTGTGGCGGCGGCGGGCTTAGCTGCTGCTGCCGCTGGAGTGCGTGCTGGTGGTGCTGGTGGAGGAGGAGGTGGTGGTGGTGGTGGTGGTGGTGGTGGGCATGGTGGTGCGGGTGCGGGTGGTGGTGCTGGTGCGGGTGGTGGTGCTGGGCATGCTGCTGAGGCTGCTGCTGCTGGTGCTGGTACTGGTGCTGGTGCGGGTGGTGGTGGTGGTGGTGGTGTTGGTGTTGGTGGTGGGGCGCTGCGGCGGGGGCTTCGCCAACGGGTTTCAGTTTGTGGTTGGGGAGCAGCCCCGTCTCCATGGCCGAGCCCGGGCCCGCCGAGGAGGAAGAGGAGGACGCCGCCGCCGCCGCGCCGGAGGAGGAGGAGGAGGAGGAGGTGGAGGAGGAGGACAGCGCGGCGGCGGCGCCGCTGCTGCTGCTGCTGCTTCTCCTCCTGCTGCTGCTTCTTCCACCCTCGGCCGCGGCTCCCCTGGCTCGCTGGCTGGCTGGCGGGCCGGGCCGGGCTCAAGGGGCGCCCGGGGTGCCCGGCGTGCCCGGCGTGCGGGCGCACAGGGCTCGGGCCGCCGCGCCGCGCGCCCCCGCCTGCAGCTCGCGGGCCCCGGGAGCCGGACACGGCCCGGGAGGCGCCCGCCGCTCGCCGCTGCCCGCCCGCGTGGCCATGATCGCCGCGGCGTGGCCAGGCCAGGCCGGCACGGGGGTGGGCCTGGGGTGGGGGGGGACACACAATAAAGGCCACTTTTTCGGAGCCGGGCGGCCCCTCCCGCGCGCCCCGACGGCACGTGGAACGGGACCCCTCACCCCCACCCCCCACCCCCACGACCCGCCCGGCGGGGCCCGGGCCAGCTCCCCGCGGGCTGCTGGCTCCGTGGCAAGTTTTTAGTGTCAAGAAAACTTTTTTTTTTTTGCTTTTGCTCATTTTTCCTCTCGGACCCGGATCTAGGCAAAGACCTGGCCGCCGCCGGAGCCTAGGGGGCCCCCCCGCATGGCACGAGACGGAGCCGAGCGGGGCCCCGGCCACGATCGGCCACTCGCTCGCTCCGAGGACTCGCGTGCACAAGCCAAAACGCGGACTGGACTCGGCCCGGGCCAGCCCGGCCCGTCCGGCCGCTGCTGCGTCTCCCGCGGCCTGGCCCACCGGGCGCCCCGCGCGCGTGTGTCCGCACGTCTAAAAAGGCACGATGCAAAGGTGGAGGACGAGTCCGAGGAGCAGACAAAAGAGGGAGCGGGCCGAGAGCAGAGTTGGGTGGGGGAGGGTGGACCTCCAAGGGGGCTTGAGGAGGGGCCGCTGGAGACCCCTGGGGGGGCCAGGGCGCAGGCCAACCGGTTCCCGAGTTATGTAACGTGCCCCCCCCCCCGCAGCCTCTTCTGATGGCTACTCTGGGGGAGCTTTGCCGCGCACCCGCAGGGACCCCCAGCAAATGCTGGGCTGCACCTGCCCCAGAGATAAGGTGGCTTCTGCGGACACCTTATCTCGGATGCTAAGTCTTCTGGACAAAAGTTCACAATCTTCCGGAAGGAGCCTTGTTGGGTTGTTGGGGGGGGGGTGCGGTGGGGGGAGGTGTTTGGTGACTTGGATTTTTTGAGGGTTTCGTTTTGTTTTTTCCCCACCGTCCTGGGCACTCTGGGCCTCTCTTCTCCAGAAAACCCTGGCATAGATTGGCACAGAGCGGTGGGGTCAGCGCCCAACAGCTTGCACGTGGAAATTTCACTCTGGGTGCCCGAGGAACCCCAGCTAAGGTCCATCCCTCTCTTGGCATTTCCAGAGTGTAAGTGCTCAACTCAAACCCTAGCTCACGTCCAGGGGATGTGAAGGTGAACGACCCATGTTACGTTTAACCAACATCCCATCCATAATACATAAATGGGTCCAAGCTGACCCTAGAGTGGAAATATCTCATACTCTGTTCTACAAAACAAAATACTCAAGCCTTTTATCACTGTCAGATGGTTTAAAGGTGCCCAGGACTGTTACCCACCCAGGAACATTTAGAATAGCTTTAGAGAGCCAGACTTGTTCCAAGCCATGGCCCTGCTGGAGTAGTGTGAACTCTTTTCATCAGGAGAATGTCTCTGAAACCAGAGCTTTCAACAAGTTATAACAGAAACTAGTTATTTTTGCTTGCTTGACCAAGTGTAAAAATGTTACAGCACTGAATAGGGGAAAAAAAAAGTTGGGGGAAACTGGTGACTAATTTGGGGGGGAGGGGGGTATAGGGGTGGGGTGCCCGGCCATTATAGAGTTTAGAAACAACAATTTGCAATTCTATGCAAACAACTAGAACAGGGGTTATATTATCACGTGTAAGGGAATAGTACAACCAACGGTAAGATGAATTCATGCCAAATCATTCATCAGTTTTTGCCAAGAGAATACTACATCTTTGTTAGTGAGCCTTTTTGACATTTTCTCCTGGATTTTCTCCCTTTATGTATTCAAATACATCCTAATTATACACGTTACGCCACATAAGTTGAATTTTTAAGTTTTTTCACATGCAAATATAAATAGATGTCTCTTTTGTGTAAGGGTATATGTAGATAGATTCTAAAATCACATCTTTATGCTTTTAGATGTTATAGTCATGCTAAATATACTTATATAATCATAAAAATGTGTATTTTCGAATTGACAAAATAAATCAAAAATCTATTCAAGCAAAACCCTATCTTGTGGCTTATTTTCACAACTACCCCTATAAAGGTACATGAGTCACATTCAAGTTCAGCTCTGGGCCTTAAAAGTATCCACCACCCCCCCTTATAAATTCCCACCACCACCACCGTCGTAAGAACCATGAAACAAAACACAAATACATAAGTCGAAATTCCTCTTGATTCCATTAGCTTCAGAGAGTCAACTAGAAGATTGGAACCAAGAGCCTATGAAATGTAAGGCCAGCACAATGAGGTCTGCCTGCTCCCCAAGGCGACACATGCCAGCTTCTCCCTGCTGGCCGATGCCACGCCCCAAGCCGACAGAAGGCACTGCGGTCTGCACCAAGCACCACACAAAGCCAGCAGGACCCGGTTTTGTCTCTTAAGCCACAGAAAAGACTAACCTAGCTTTTCCAAAAGCTCTTTGCTGAAGACCAGTGGTGGTCTCGTACTTATCATTACCTTCTACTTATCACCATCATAGGAAAACAAAATAAAAGCCCTAGACTTGCCGCTAGAAACCCAGGGTTTAAGAAACAAAACGGCACTTGTCCAGGGTCTCAGAAAGTGACTGAGTAAGTTCACCAGCCCCGCTAAGCCCGCTGAGAGCTGGAAGTGAGCCTTGAGGATCCTATATGCAAATTCAACTTGACCGTCGTTTCTTGATGCGTCCCAGAAATCAGCGCGCATTCATCCTAACTGATGAGTTCCCTCTCTTTACCCCTCTTGTCTAAATTTCTGTCCATAAGGTCCCCTTGGTAAGTGACTGGAACTGCAGCGAAGCCCCAAGGGGTTGTGGGCCCAGCCCAGGGCCCCTGCAGAGAGAGACCTACCACCCTCAGGCCGGGCTGCCTTCCTGTTTAGCCAGAGGATTACCCATTATTTTGTTAAGCACTCCTTTTTGGCTACAAAAAGGGTTGGGGAGGGGGGTGGAGGGGGCCCACACTATATGAAAATATTAATATTCAAATGCAGCTCCTTTTGAGTAAGTTTTCGGGTGCTGAATAAAAGGCTCTTCAACTTGCCCACTTAGCGAGGGCTGAGCCAGATGGCGGCTGAAGAATACCACCGTTCTGTTCTTTTCTGCCTCGCCCGTGGCCCCTCACACTGTTTGCTTCCAGATTAGCCTCCTTGTACTGTTCTGCTTATTTATTTGATAACTGAAACTATCACGATTCACTACCCATCATATTTCTCCGTATTCTTTACGTAATTTGGAAGCAATTTAGAATAAAGCCCTGTCAAGGTTTTACAAATAAGGACTATTAAAGAATAAGGCTCGGGATACTTGCTTTCCTTTTAGATTTATGAGAAATGCGGTGAATGGAGCTAATGGGATTTCCCTACTGATCTTGGTCAGGGACTTTAAACAGCACTAAACAATTGTCCTTTTCACTTCTCCGATTTAGATGTTAGCCGTGAATAACGGAGGAAACGCAAGTTATGGGCTAACGCATTTGATTTGAAACAACTATGCAAATTAACAGTGGCCCTTGCGTTTCGGGTACAAACATTTAGGTTAAAAAAAAAAACACTAGGCAAAAATAAATTTGTGCATTGGACTCACTAAAACTATTGTGCTGGAGATTATAAACTTTAAGGGGGGGGGAAACTATACTTTTTTCATCCAATAATTATATCGAGAATCTGCTTTCTGATACTCTCCGAGAATTAAAAAAATGAATATTATCTTGCTCTTGTCCTTCATAGCAGCAAGAAATAACGACCCTAAAACATATCCAGAACTGCCCTGAAACTTCTTGGAGGATTTGGCCAGATAAGAATCAAGCTCAGAGACAGATGGGTCAAAGAGCCTGAGCGCATGCTGAAGGCCTGGATTCCGGCCCTGCTACCACAGGGTCCTTCAAAAGCTCAGACCACCCACGTTTTTTTCACCTCTGGCCCTGGAGAGAAGTCGGCTGGACTTCCAGAACCGTAAATCGAAGTTAAGCCTGTGGTCTGACTATAAACAACTAAACATCAGACATCCGCAGTTTTTCCCTCCAACATACCTGGAAACAGTACACAGCAGTGAAATAGACATTTCAATGCGTTTTAGAACCTGGTATTTATTTGCTCGGTCACTGGACGGTCCATATTTTGAGTGATGTGCAATAATTATTTTTCATTACAATGTAGTATATCACTTTTAGACAAATGCGTGCCTTGTCTTCATGCCATCATCGAAGTCACTCATTGAGCACCGAGAGTGGATTTCAGTATTGTCTTCTATGATTTTATTGGGTCATAGAATCTTCTTCCTGGTGTCTGAC